TGTTCTCCACTAGGTATTTGAACAGAGCATAATTTTCTCTTGAAGATGAAACCAATTTTATCTACATCTTATTGTCAGATCCGCAAGCATTAAAGTCGAAAAGTCTTTATATATATGATATTGATGTTCTATAAATACTTTTCATATATAAAAGTGTTTCTCTCATATCTGAAGAAAATACACATGCTTGAGTAGTTGAGAAATTTAATCTTTGTTTTACAATAAATTCGCTGATATAAAATGTGTCAATAATTCTAGTCGTTTAATGATAATTTCTCTCTTCCTCGTCCATCTATGCATAATGATATTATCTCATTTTCAATAGATTTCTTTATTGTTAGTCTGTTTCTCCCCTCAATGGTGCATCTTTTCTCTCTCATAATCGATGTATAAATGGAGACGATATTAACGCAATAAAGTTGAGTTGAAAGATAGTACAACACACGTCATCCCATAAAGAAGTAAAATGGAAAAAAAATCAATTGGTGAGTACAAATGTGTTCAAGCAGTTGCTCTATATGATGCTGGATTTACAATTTCTGGTGTTGCTCGTCAACTTAACATTTCATGGATTTGTTTTAAAAATGCTATTATCCGTCATCGTGATCACGGTACATTCAAAGATCTTTCACGAACCGGTCGTCCTTTGAAACTCAGACCAAGAACTGCTCACCATCTTAAACGTTTAGTACATGGAAAAAATCGAGCAAATGCCAATATTATTACACAAAAATTAAATGATTTATCGATTATACATGTTTCTTCAAGAACTGTTCGACGTCATCTTCACAAAATGGAATATACTTACAGTGCACAAATCAAAAAATCATATTTAAAAAAGATTCATAAAATGAAAAGGATTGCTTAGTGTAAAAAATTTTGATGTTATACAATTGAGGATTGGTGTCGTTTTATATTCAGTGATGAATCGACTTATTACGTTCTGAAACGTAATAATAAGATGATGGTGTGGCGGACTAAAGATGAAAAACTGGTTTCTGATTGCATCCAGAAAATTAGTACAGCAGATACAAAAATAGGTGTAAGGGAAGCCATTTCTGGCTATGGTAAAACATCATTATTGGCTTATTCTGATAATATAGATTCAACAAAATATTGTGAAGTTTTAAAGAATCAGTTAATTCCATTAATTAAACAATTAGCAAAAGAAAAAAAATACACATATTAATGTGATTTAGTACCTTGGCGTAATAGTAATATAGTGAAGAAACAAATTAGAAAATTGAAGATTAATATGCTGGAATGGCCTTCCAATAGCCAAGACTTAAGTGTTATTGAAGAAATATGGAGTATTATCGACAAACGATTAGCATTAAAATCAATTAATACTAAAGAAGAATTAGAAAAACGTTTACAAGAAGAATGGGATGTAATATCAATTAGATTGTGTCAAGCATTAGTAGATAGTATGCCTCAACCTATTGAAAAATGCCTGAAAGGAAAAGGAGGTCATTTTACGTGACATTTTTTATGAAATTTGCGAAATATTTTTTTGTGCCCTCTTTGATTAAATTGGTGAAAGAAACAGAAAAAGAAGAAAAAAAAATTTTAAATTTCAAACTTTGGACTACTAAAAAATGACCTCCTTTTGTTTCTTTATTCAATTTTGAATCTTTTATGACAGGATTGTAGAGCATCGAATTTTCTTTAAGATAAGGGCTTTTCCAGCTTTTAATTGTCTTGAAACACAACCGATGATGGAATTTGAAGAATTTCATTTTTTCGTATTTTTCGTTTATTCTCATTAAAGTCAAGTTTTAAAAGTGAAGATCGATCCTAGGAAAAAATCTTTTTTTATAATCTGGTAGAGTGTGAAATGCTCTATCAATTGATATAATTTTGTTTTACTTTAGCACAAGTCTCTTGGTTAGGAAATGCGAAATACTGAAAGATGCCGAAGTCTACTTTTGCATAGAACAAAATTATTTTAATTATAAAAAATCTATATAAAGAGATAGAATGTCGTTCTTTAATAGACGATGTAGCTAAGCTCTCATATTATCTGTATAACCATTTGAATTAAACCTGTACCTAATAATATGAAAAAAATTTGAGAAAAAAA